GAATGTTGTTTTCTTTGATGAGCAGAAGAATGTTGTTTTCTTTGATGTAAAATCAGAATGTGTATGTATTGCTGAATGTATGTATGTATGTGTGTTTGTGTGTGTATGTGTATACACACACACACACACATATACTGTATGTATTTGTATGTATGTATGTATGTATGCATGCGTGTATATATATACACGCATGCATGCATACATACATATAAATACATATAGTATATGTGTGTGTGTGTACACATACACACACACACATACATATATATATACATTCAGCAATACATACACATTCTGATTTTACATCAAAGAAAACAACATTCTTCTGCTCATCAAAGAAAACAACATTAATTTTGTACATCATTATGATACATCTCTCTTTTGGCTCTCTTCTCATTAATTCCCTCTAGACTTCAAAATAACTTACAAAAACTAAGCTGCTTTTATTCAGCTGTTCCTTATGTACATAGTGAATCCTATTTACAGTACAAATGTTTTCTAAAAGGAATTTGTAAAGATTTTACTAGAGGAGAAATTGGAGGACCTTTCTCCCTTTTTGGGCAATTCTGCCATGGTAGCTGACTGTTCTACAGAGATAAGATGAATAGAATGGCTGAGATGCTGTCTTCTTTTTTCTTTACAATGGATTTCTCCTTTGGAAGGAAAATATAATGATTGCTGCTGGGGTTTGGTAAATGATCGCACTGGGAGCCTTGCATTGGTAAAACCTTTACAACATAGACCTTTATAAGGAATATTTACTTCTGGTGCTAGTTAGCGTTTCCCTTCATGGAGCTGCAGTTGAGAATATTGTACAGATGGCTGCCCATTGCCTTGATTCACTTCCTTCCTAGATTTGTATAGTCAATCGTATGGTACAATTGTTCTGTGCCATTTTAAGCAATGCCTGTTCTCTAATAAGAAAGAAAAGAGTTTGCTACAGATCAGTCTTTTGTATTCTTTCCTTTCCTGCTCTCTGTATCCCATGGTTAAGTTTCCAGGAAAGGTAAAGATACCATCAAGCTCAAATTGTGGAGATTTAATTCGTACATTTTTCTTAGCAGTGCTCAAGAAGTGATTTGTTATTGTTCCAGGGTCTCTTTTTGACTTCCTAATCTAGCCAAGATTCTTGGAATTTGAAGGTGGTCCCCCATTTAAGCAATAACCCGGGTCAACCAAGTTCAGTTCCTGAGATCAGCCAAGCAGTAAAATGAGTCTCAGAACCACGCTGTGTTAATTCTAAATATCATCTCTAATGTCAATGCTTAGGC